ATAAAATTAGTTATTGTTAATAATTATAATATATTATCATTATATTTTACAAAAAATATCAAATTATTATTATAAAATAGTTATTTGTATTTTGATTGTGAATATTGTATTTATTATACAATATAATATTTTGTTATTATTTTAAATTATGATATAAATAATATATTAATATTTTATTTTACAAATTTGAATATATATAAACAATGATAAGTATTTTAGTAATATAATATATTTGATAATTATACCATATAATTAAATTAATATTACATTATATTAGTAAAATATTATTTTAAATATATTGGTATAATGATATAATATTTATTAATAAATGATTTATTTAAATATCAGATGACAATTGTTCCCCTTCTATATAAATAATTTATTTTTATATTTTTAATCATGAAATTAGGAGTGAAAATATAAAAAAAGATCATTATTTTTTTTATTTTATATATAGTTTGACAAGTAATAGAATATATATGATATTCTTTATAATTTTAGTTTAAACATATATATCTAATTATATTATTTTTATTATTTAAAATTTATTTCTTCAATTGTGTTTTCTTATTAAAAGTCTCATCGAATTAATTTTTAAATTTTATAAGATTTTATTTGTTAATAAATTTGATTTTTTATATATATGACTTTTGAAATAAAATTTTAGAACCTAATTGTTTTATTTTTTAAAAAATATATTATTATAATTTATATGATTGATTATTTTTATGATTTTTCAATAAAAATGATGTTGTTACATATATAAATTATGATGAGAAAGAGAGAGCTAGAAGTGTGTTTCGGATATTATAATTATTCTAAAAAGAAAAAGTAAAAGAACTAGGGTTTTTCATGTTCATTTATCGTAGCTTTTTTTATTTATTTATTTTAGTGCTGGCCTAGCTCATTTCATCGTAGTTTTTTTTTAGGGCTGGCCTAAAGAAGCATTTCCTTTTTTTTTTTTTTTTATAGGGCTAGTCTTGAGAAGCGGGCTCAAGCGAGCTCGCACAAGCAATCCCAACCAAAGTTTGCTTTCTTTTTTTTTCTTTCTAATAATTTATTTTTATATTTTTTATCATGAAATTAAGTGTAAAAATATAAAAAAGATCGTTATTTTTTTTAGTTTTACGTACAGTTTTACGGTAATAGAATATATATAATATTTTTAAAAATTTTAGTTTAAACATATATATCTGATTATATTATTTTTATTGTTTAAATTTTATTTCTTCAATTGTTTGTTTCTTATTAAAATTCTCATCAAATCAATTTTTTTAATTTTATTTGTTATTAAATTTGATTTTTTATATATGGATTTTAGAACTTGATTGTTTTATTTTTAAAATATATTATTATAATTTATATGATTGATTCAACAAATGTTGTACAAGTTAAGCGATCATATATAATTGGTCCCTTCATCGGGAAAGAAAATATATATATTATTGGTTCCTTTAATATCCTTGAAACAATATTAATTTATTTCTTCAATTATTTTTTTCTTATTAAAATTCTCATTGAATTAATTTTTTAATTTTTTGATATAATTTTATTTTTTAATAAGTTTGGTTTTTTAATATATGAATTTTGGAATAAAATTTTAGAACATCAATGTTTTATTTTTTAAAATATATTATTATAATTTATGCAATAAATTATTTTTATTATTTTAAATGAGTTTTTTATTTTTTTAATATATATATATATACGGATAGAGAGAGAGAGAGAGAGAAAGAAAGTTAAAAGTATGTTTTAAATAGTTTTACTCAGTTTTTTTTTTAAAATAATGAGTAAAAAAAAATCACAAGTTTTATTTGCTTTTTTATATATATTTATTTAGAATTTATCAAAATCAATTTTGTTGTAGTTTTTATTTTAAACTATTGACTTCAATATATTTCTACGAGTTTAGGTGAGTTTCTTTTTTGTATACTTTTCTATTTATTCTATATATTATGAATCACACACATAGAAATTAACTATATATAGATTTGATTTATATTAATCACTAAAAATAAAACTTTCTACTTGCATTACAACATATAAATCGTTAACTTTACATATATAACGATTGTCTACCCACGACGTAGCATATGTATCCAACTAGTAAAAAAAACTAAAAGAAGTAAGGATGAGACTATTGATTCACTGTAATTTCTAGACTTATGGTCCTATTTGTGCTTTTTTTTTTTTTTTTTTTTGCTTCTTGGTCTCTCTTTCTTTAAGAGATAAATTAATTATTCCCTTTGGTTTGAAAAATAATTTTTTTTTATCCTTTTCACCATTTTACTATTTTTATTTTTATTTTAAGAAATCAAAAAAACAAAAAAATAATTCTTTGATAAATAAATTAATTAATCCTTTTGGTTTAAAAACTAATTTTTTTTAATCCTTTATACCATTTCCATTTACCATACCAGTCCTTTTCTTTTCCCTCATTTTTATATTTGTAGGAATATTATTATAGTTAATAATTATAATATATTATCATTATATTTTACAAAAAGATAGCGAGTGCTTTTTTTTTTTTAACATAGAGCCTCCTTTTTTTTCTTTTTTCTTTGTAGTTTCTATATTTGTTGGACTATTATTATATGGTCAAATATATTATTTAGGTCCTTATTTATTATAAATATATTTTTTTAAATAATAAAATTATTTATAGTTGATAATTATAACATTTTATCATTATATTTTAAAAATATATATCAAATAATTATTATAAAATAGAATTATATTTTGTTTAAAGAATAAAATTATTTATAGTTAATAATTATAATACATTATCATTATATTTTACAAAAAATATCAAATAATTATTATAAAATATTTATTTGTATTTTGATTGTGAATATTGTATTTATGCAGTGCTTTTTTGCTTCTTCTTCTTTTTTTTTAACTTCTGGCCTCCTTTTTTTTTTTTTTTTAGTTTCTATATTTGTAAGACTATTATTATATGATCAAATATATTATTTAGGCCCTTATTTATTACAAATATATTTTTTTAAATAATAAAATTATTTATGGTTAATAATTATAATATATTATCATTATATTTTACAAAAACTATCAAATAATTAATATAAAATAGTTATTTGTATTTTGATTGTGAATATTGTATTTACTATACAATATAATATTTTTTATTATTTTAAATTAGGATATAAATAATATATTAATATATTATTTTACGAATTTGAATATATATAAAAATTGCTAAGTATTTTGGTAATATAATATATTTGATAATTATAACATATAATTAAATTAATATTACATTTTATTAGTTAAATATCATTTTAAATATATTGGTATAATAATATAATATTTATTAATAAATGATTTATTTAAATATCGGATCATAACTCGTTCCCCTTCTATACAAATAATTTATTTTTTTATTTTTTTATCATGAAATTAGGTGTGAAAATATATATAAAAAAAAAAGATCATTATTTTTTCATTTTACTTATAGTTTGACGAGTAATAAAATATATATGATATTTTTTAAAATTTTAGTTTATATATATGTGATTATATTATTTTTATTATTTAAAATTTATTTCTTTATTTATTTGTTTCTTATTAAAATTCTAATCAAATTAATTTTTAAATTTTATATGATTTTATTTGTTAATAAATTTTATTTTTATATATATGGCTTTTGCAATAAAATTTTAGAACTCGATTGTTTTATTTTTTAAAAATATATTATTATAATTTATAAGATTGATTATTTTTATGATTTTTCAATAAAAATGACGTTGTTGCGTATATAAATTCGATGAGAAATAGAGAGCTAGAAGTGTGTTTCACATATTATAATTATTCTAAAAAAGGACTAAAAGGACTAGAGCTTTCTTTGTTATTTTACTGTAGCGTTTTATTTATTTATTTATTTTAGTGTCGGCTCTGGAGAAGCGAGCTCCAACGGCGAGGCCTTGCTCATTTCACTATAGTTTTTTATTTTTTTTTCTTTTAGGGCTGGCCTAGAGAAGCATTTCCTCCTTTTTTTTTTTTTTTTAGGGCTAGCCTTGAGAAGTGGGCTCAAGCAAGCCAGGCACAAGCGATCCTAACCGGCGTTTGCCTTCTTCTTTTTCTTTTCCTTCTAATGATTTATTTTTATATTTTTTTATCCTGAATTTAGGTGTGAAAATATAAAAAAGATTGTTATTTTTTTAGTTCTACATACGGTTTTACGATAATAGAATATATATAATATTTTTAAAAATTTTAGTTTAAACATATATATCTGATTATATTATTTTTATTGTTTAAAATTTATTTCTTCAATTATTTTTTTCTTATTAAAATTCTCATCGAATTATTATTTTTAATTTTATATAATTTTATATTTTAATAAATTTGATTTTTTATATATGGATTTTGAAATAAAATTTTGGAACTTGATTTTTTTATTTTTTAAAATATATTATTATAATTTATAAAATTTATTATATTTATGAGTTTTAAATGAGAGTAGAGTAATTGCATATGTAAATTCGATGAGGGAAAGAGAGCTATAAGTTTGTTTTAGACAATTTTACTTAATTTTTTAAAAAATAATAATCGATTAAAAAAATTCATAGGTTTTATTATAAAGAAAATTAAAAAAAAGGGTATTTAAAGAGTGGCTAATGTTCATTTACTCGTATGTTATAATATTTTTAACATTTTGGTCCTTGATATTTTTGAAAGATGAGTTTTTCTATGGTGATTTCGAGCCACCAAATAATTGGAGGAGATAGATCGGAACAAAAAAAGAAGAAAAAATTTGATTTGATTATGTATTTTTTTATTTTAATGTGCATTAAAATAATTTTTAAGATTTTGAAATTATTTTTTGACTTTATTTCGGTCATTTAGAGGTGTTTCGAGAAAAAAATAATATCGAATTGAGTTTCTTGGGGTCCGAAACTAGACTCGTGAATCTTCGACGAATATTCCGACAAGTTAGAGTTATTCGAAAGTTACTGATTTTTTTTTTTTTTTTTTTGAAGGTTGAACAGTGGTCGAGGCCTCCGGAAGCAAGCCCAAATAGCCCGGGCTTGGGGTCCAAGCAACCCCGGCTCGGCTCACGAGCCTAAGCACGTTGACCTCTATCGGCCATATAGGCCAACTAGGAACGACCCTCCCATTTTTTTTCTTGCTATAATTTATTTTATATTTTGAAAATTCGGCCACCAATTTCATGATAGAACAAAAAAAAAAAAAAAGTTAATCATTTTAAATCTTGATGTTTTTTCGGATTGCATCGCTAAGAGGTAAAAGGAAATCTTTAAAAGAATATACATATTGTTATAGCATAATAGGAGCTCCGGCAAATGTTGTACAAGTTAAGTGATCATACATAATTATTCCCTTCACTAAGAAAGAAAACATATATATCATTAGTCCTTTCAATGTCCCCGAACCAATATTAATTTATTTTTTTAATTATTTGTTTCTTATTAAAATTCTCATTAAATTAATTTTTTAATGTTTTTTATATAATTTTATTTGTTAATAAGTTTGGTTTTTTAATATATGAATTTTGGAATAAAATTTTAAAATGTTAACGTTTTATTCTTTAAAATATATTATTATAATTTATGCAATAAATTATTTTTATATTTTTATATTTTTTAATATATATATATATATATATATAGAGAGAGAGAGAGAGAGAGAGAGAGAGAGAGAGAGAGAGAGAGAGAGAGAGAGAATTATGTTTTAGATAATTTGACTTAATTTTTTTTAAAAATAAAAATGAGTTAAAAAAAATTCATAAGTTTTATTTACTTTTTTAAATATATTTATTTAGAATTTATCGAATCAATTTGATGTAGTTTTTTATTTTAATTTATTGACTTCAATATACTTTTACGAGTGTATATATATAGTTTTATTATAAATTAACTATATATAGATTCGATTTATATTAATCACTAAAAATATAACATTTTTACTTATATTATATTATATAAATCGTTAATTTTACATATATATAATATTTATCTTTTCATGACATAACGCGGGCGCTCTATAATAAGGGAATTCCTAACTCTTAATTAAAGATGGGCCGTCTTAGAAGTAGTAGCCATCCTCTCGGTGGACCTTGGATTCATCTGACTGACTCATATCTTTTTGACGAGACATACAGGTGGTTTGGTGATGATAAATATGTCATGTGCACTGTTGACGGGAGTAGAAAAATAATTGAAACGTATTATCATTAAACGCGTGCCTTCTGAATCTCCTTGAGGACCATTCTTGTTAACTTTTTTACCTTCAGGTTCTACCTACGAGATCCATGACGCCTTCAACAAGAAAAGAGGTGCAGTTGATTACGTGTCCCTCGTTTGGACCTATTGTTCTTCCCTAAATGTACAAAGAAGCATATGTAAGAGAAATTAAAATATATTGGAATATCAAACCTGTAGAGAAATTAAAATGTTAGTAAGAGAAATAAAGACAGCAATTTAATTGAAAATATGTAATTAAGCATTTACTTACTGTATGGGGTAGGTTGATATAATACAATAAGTATAGATTGAATAAAAAATGAACAAATAATTTTAATGAATAATAAATAAAATAATAACTATAATATTTTTAATGGATAGATTACGATATTAGCTTATTGGACAAGGTAGATGACCCATTCCCGTTACCAATAGTTTTGCCTTTTTAAAAGATTAAAAAGTAATGTATTGCGACATGTCACCCCAAACCCTGAAAAGAAATATAAAAGAGTAAAGGAGATGGGCCCGACAGAAATGAATTAAACCAAAAGCGTATACAATTGCACGTTCTATTCTAAAAATGTCCTTCCTACAAATTACTATTAAAAAATAATAATAATAAAAGAACTAGGGGTGGTGTTATCCATTTACTGTGGCAGTACTTTTTTTTTTTTTTTAGGGGCCGGCCGCTAGAACTTCATTGTAGCATTCCTCTCCTTTTTTTTTTTTTCTTTTCAATTTTTATATGTTCTCATATAATAATTATTTTCTTTTTATATAAATAATATATTTTTATTTTTTATCATGAAATTAGATGTAAAAATATAAAAAAATATCGTTACTTTTTTTACAGTCATATAATATATATGATATTTTAAAAAAATTAATTTGAATATATATATATATCTGATTATATTATTTTTTTTGTTTTATTTTTATTTTTTAAGGATTGAGCGGCTGAATCTTTTCTTCATCATCATCATCATCATCATCAGTCATGAAATTAAGGGTCTTCTTCTTTTTCTTTTTTCTTTTTTGTTTTGTTTTTTTGTTTTTTTGTTTTTTTTTTTTTAAGGATTGAGCGGCTGAATCTTTTCTTCAATGTAGCATTGTAGCAGCATCTCTTCTTTCTTTTCTTTTTTTTTTTTTAAGGGCCGGCCGCTAGAACTTTATTGCAGCATTCCTCTTTTTTTTTTTTTTTCTTTTCAATTTCTATATATTCTCATATAATAATTATTTTCTTTTATATAAATAATATATTTTTATTTTTTATCATGAAATTAGATGTAAAAATATAAAAAAATATCGTTATTTTTTTACGAGTCATAGAATATATATGATATTTTTAAAAAATTTAATTTGAATATATATATATATATATATTATTTTTATTATTTAAAAATTATTTCTTCAATTGTTTGTTTCTTATTAAAATTCTCATCGAATTAATTTTTAAATTTTATATAATTTTTTTAATAAATTTGATTTTTTATATATGGCTTTTGAAATAAAATTTTACAACATGATTGTTTTATTTTTTAAAATATATTATTATAATTTATACAATTGATTATTTTTATAATTTCTCAATGAAAATGACATTGTTGCATATATAAATGATGATGATGTGTGTGTGTGTGTGTGTGTGAGAGAGAGAGAGAGAGCTAAAAGTGTGTTTTAGATAATTTGACTTATTTTTTAAAAAAAATAATAATTAGTTAAAAAAATAATTTAGCTTGGTTTTTTTTTAAATTAATAATTAGCTAAAAAATTCACGGGTTTTATTTTGTTATATATATCAAAATTTATCAAAACCAATTTTATAGTAGTTTTTATTTAAATATATTCACTTTGATATATTCCATGCAATTCAAGTGGTTTTTTTATAGTTTTTATTTATTTTATATACTCTAAGTCTTCTAAGTACGCTATATATATAGTTTTGATAGAAATTAATTATATCTATACACATAACATCAATTATTTATTTTTTTATGCTCTAAAATCTGTATTTTTAATTGAAATAATTTAATTAATGTTTTGAAAGAACCTCTTAATTATTCAAATAAAAATTTTATACTAATATTATAAATTATTTTGTTAATAAATATATATATGTCATAACCCAATTTTGGGTTCCTTGAAAAAAAAGTACAAAAAATACAAAAAAGGGGAAAAAATATATAAAAAATACTGAATCTTCCTAAAATCATTCGAAGATCCGTCAAAATCTTCCACTAATCTTTTTTCGAATTTGAATCTCCTTATTTTTAGCTAATCAAATCTCAAAATTAAGATTTGAAAGTTAAAATTTGAATTTGAATTGATTGATTTTGGGAGAGATTTTAGGAGGTTTCGACTTATAAAAAGCTTTTGAATTCTAATTTGCGGATGGGGGACAAAAAAACAAAAAGCGACCGGAGAGCGAAAAAAATACTAAAAAAAGAAGAAGCCAAACATGTCCTAACCCATACACCAAACCCATTTACCCAGCTGAATGTTTCATCTTCCAATCGATCATTTTTCGATCCGTTTTGACCACGATCAACACACCCACGTGTAGCCCATCACTAGATCGATCGATCCATACCGATTAGAGAGAAACCCTCACAAAGGAGAGAGAAATTAAAGATTTAACCACCACGACCCGACCTAAAAAAAATACCCAATCGTTTCTCTCAACCCCGGTCACCAACACAAGACCTACCACCATATACCCGATTGCCCATCTCCCCGAGTGTTTCCGTTCAAAAATCGTGACCCAACTACATCGAAAAATGGTTTAATCGAAAGAGATCCATTTTCTACCCGTTTTGGAAAACTCGAAAAAATTAACCAATCTAGGAAGAATTGAAGGCCCTCACCACCATAGAAATCTTTCCCTCAACCTTGCAATTCGATTGGTGTGCTTAGAATCCCGAGAGGAGGTTGAAGTCATCGCCGATGAAGAAGGGAGATCCGACCGGACTTTTGGAGGCTCCGATCTCCCTCCTCCGACGTTGTCTCCAGCTGAAACCACTACCTTTGGACTTGTACTGACCGGATCTACAAGGTGGGGTGGTCCACGCACCGGGAGGGTCACCGGAAGACGAACGATCACTTGGCGGTGACCTTTGTTATTCTAGAGGCATTTTTGTACTTATCGGTAAAGGTGATTTTTGGACTTTTTTTTTATATATAATTTATTTTTATGTGTTTTGTAATAATTTTTGATCTTATGCATCTAAGAAAATCTAGAGATACTTAGGCTTAAAATTTATTTTAATATGTAATTTTTTTTATAGGATTGAAATATTGAATCAACGAGTCTCCTATTTATTAGGGATAGTGATTTCAATATACTTAATTTCTCAAAATTTATTTTAGTTGATTTTAGTTAATTAAAATTTTAGAGTTTTTTTAAATAAGAAAATACAAAAATAAAAAATATATATCCAAAATCTTTGACGAAGTCTCCTATTCGATAGAGACCGACGTCACCAAAAAGAATATCCAAATTTTTTCGACGAAGTCTCCTATCCGATAGGGACCGACATCATCAAAAATCATTGTTTAAATCAAGATGTCCTTTGACATACCGGTTGTGTCAAGGCTTAAAGTGGATTCGATGTTTCAATCGGCGTGTCGCCCGACGAAGGGGATCGACGATCGTTTCAATATGATGACACGCTAAAAAATAAGAATTCAATTTTTATTTTTTTTAAAAAATAGTAGTTTAAAAATCAAAAAATAATTCGACATAAGTAAAATATTTTAAGAGATAAATTCGAACTAAACCGAAGTTGTACCTTTCTTCGAAAATGACACTTTTAAGTGATCGATATCTTCCCAAAAGCGTAACCAACTCTTTACCATAGAATCTCTAAACCGAGTGCCTATTTTAGGTTCCTAGTTCCTTCAATACTAGGTGGCGACTTCGAACTCTATAAATAAACTTGTAAATATTTAATTAAATTTTAGATACTTTTGGGAGTCTCGTCCGACGTCGAGTAGTAGCAGAATGGCAACTCCACCGAGGACTAGAGTTAGGCCATAAGTTTAATTTTTAATTTATCTCCTTTATTTATTTTTTTCATTTTATTTTCTAAATGTATTTATTGTTTTGTATATATTTAAATTTTTGTAATTTATTTTCTCGTTGCTTGTTTATTTTTGAACTCGGGTTGTATATTTTTTCTTTGAATTGTTGCACACACCACAAAGGAAACCTATAAAAGCTCTAGACCCGAGCTAAACTCCGATAGAACTTAGATAGAGGGATTTAGAGGCAAGTATGATGAAAGTCTACCGATGCTCTTCTAGACTCTCATTCGGAATAAAACTCACTCTATACATTGAAAATGGTGGAGTAACCTTTCCCTACCTCCTAAGTGTATAAGGCTAGAGGCTAGATTACCCCATCGGTAATTTAGACGAGTCCGAAACTTGAAAAATCTTTAGGATTAGACAATCTTTGCCTAAATCATCAAAAAAGCTATATCATGTCCACTAGGGTTGATCGATTAAGATATAAATCATTTTCAAATGATAGTTCTAATCCTTAACTCTTGTAGGCTATAAAAAAAAGGTATTTAACCCGAGTTCAAATCATGCATGTATATACTCGTATATTTATTGTACATATGTTTCTCGAGTTTTTTAAAGGATTTTGAAACATAGGTTGCTCACTAAGGCTCAATTCCCTCTCGTGTGTCTATAACACTCGACTTCGGACTCGTCAAATGAAAAATGAAGAAAGACCATGATATGAGCCAATTAGTCGGCAAGAGTTTGACTCGCTAAAAGAGAGTGTGGCTCGGATGACATCCATGTTAGAATAAGCCTTAAGAGGTGAAGGTAGCTTAAATCAAGGAAAGGAACAACCCGAAGTAACTCATATTGTTCCATTGCCTAATTAGTCAAGGCCTTCCAATCAAGCAACTTTCCATGCCGATGGCTCACATCCTCGCTATGGCATTTGCTTATCTCATGAACCTATGAG